GTGAACTGGACTACCTACAGTAATTTTAAAAAGCTAATTATTTTATGCATAAAAGAAGAATTCATAAGTCGTATAACAAAGAAACCGAAAAACTCTCGAGAAAAATTAAAAACTATTCAAGCCGGTCCTTAAAAAAACATTGAAAAATGTATGTCTCGAAAAAACGAATAACATACATGAAGGTGAATCTGACAGGTCTTGAGCCTTCTAGATATAAAGAAGTTAACGTTTCCATTTAGGCATCCCTGTATAGTATGTATCAGTTTGTAAGTTTGATACTTAATAAATATGAGTGTGTCAGAGTGTGCCAGCACCAACTACACTGCGATCGTTACCATATCGCCTTTGATAATGTCAACCGCAGTCACAGACGAAACGTTGGGCATAAAAACCTACAGACCACTGCCAAAATACCCGGAAAATAGCTTTCATTTGGTTATGAAATGAACTTTTTGTGATCAGTCAATATCACTTGATATGTAAAAATTTAATATACCGGTAACCTGAAAGGCATATGAAGTTTTTTGCTGGAACAAAGCTTGTTGAAAAAAGTTGTGTAGAAATTAAATAACCACTTGCCTTCTTTTGATGCGGTAACTATTGGAAACGTTGTTAGGATTTCCCATACGCTATTTCATGTATGAACACTTTAACTTTTAACTGTACCGTATTTTATCAAATATTAAACATCCTTTTCCAAGAGTCATCACCCGAAGACGATTGTAGATACTAACAATCGAAACGTCGTGAATTAGCGTGACTTGGAATCTCTTCACTTTTTATTTCTATTTTCTTTTTTTCATTTCTTTATTTTTATTTATTCAATTGTTCTATTTTTACTTGTATTTTGAAATAAAATTTAAATTTACTGGAAATTACATAACATTCAAAATTAAACAGTTTTTCCCGAATACCTTTTTAATATTCTACTGATCTATAGTAAACCAGAAAAGTTCTCGTGTTATCAACCAGTGATAATGATTATTATTCTAAATATTTTATACTCACCTATCTATAACCACCGCTGTAGTACATCACTGTTCGTTATATATTTGCAGCTAAAGTAATGTTCATTGAATTAAAACGAAGTTTTTTAACAACAAACAGCCAGAAAAAGTGCCATTTTGAACAATTCGTCGATAAAATAGTAATCAATGAATTTATATTTGAAATTATCAAAACGCGGAAAACACCTAAGATAATGGTAGACTGTCATCACATTTTTTCACATTGTTCATTAAGAAATCGGGTACTTCTCAATACATATTCATGAGTGGAGAATACCATACTCGACGAAGAATGTAATTTTTTATTGAAGCGAATTATTTATTTTCGAACTATTATCCAGCATATAATAATTGCATAAATGCGCATTTTGAATATAAACTACAAATCACTGATAATTATCAACTAATTACCTTGCTAAATGATTGTTGCGTTACGAATGTATATTACCATATTTCAGTTCATATTGGTTAGCATTTATTAATGTCAAGCCATTACATGAAGTACATAATAATTATTAAATTCAGAAGAACCACTCGTCGTAGAACACTCGTTTATTTATATGAAGTTTATACTTGTTTATTAGTTGAATCATTCTTGTGGGATTTACAGTTGCTCTGAGCTTGTGAAATGAAACATCAGTACTAGAATGAAATTCATCCCCTTTTTAGTATGATATGGTATACTATTATATACTATTTAGTGAAGACCCTCAATGAGTGTCTAGTTTGGTATTGAAAATTCCCCTCCTCTCAGATTTTAAACAGGATAAGATAAATACTGCAAGCGCCAAACATGATGGCGAGCCTGCCCCCATGCGCACAAACTTATTTTCAATGTAACCTCTACTACAGCTCTTGCAAGACAAACAAATGCTAGGTACAGAGGCGGATTATTAATTGTCCTCTAATGTTATTAGCCTTTGGCATTGCCTGAATTATTTGTGTTATTGTGTTGGGAGGGTAAACCGATTTGTAACGTAATGCATCAGTATGTTTTGCTCCCCTTTTTCCTCACTCTATCGCGACGGAGAAGTACCTCGCGTGGGCACGAAACTTCGGTAGGTCAGTCGTGCAGGAATAATGTTGTGCTCAATATGTCACGTCATTGTAACACGTCGAACTATTGGAGCCAAGTCTACAAATGAGAATGGAGTTTGCTGGTGATTGACAATGTTACGTGCTGCATTTCATTAGTTCGAACTTCCATTGTCTAACATGATATAAATTGATTTGAAATCCCTGAAAGAATCTGTAAAGATTAAAAAAAATTAGTTGAGTAATAACACTTATATGAACTGAAAAAACTGAAATTACAAGGAAATAAAATACAAGCAACAATCAAAAAATGAAAAAATTGAACTATTAACAAGAGATGAAAACTAAAAAAAATATTAACAAGAAATAAAAAAGTTACTCCACGACGTTTCGATTGTTAGTATAAACAATCGTCTTCGGGTGATAACTGTTAATAGTTCAATTGTTGATAGTTACATATTTTGATTTTTTGGTTGTTGCTTGTACTTAATCCGATTTATTGATAAAACAACGATGAAAATAAAATAAAAACAACAATAAAAATTAATTGGCGCTCCGGGGCGACTTCATTGATTCCAGTGGCGCATTTGCTTTTTCAGCTGCTTGTATTTCATTTCTTTGTAATTTTAGTTTTATCGCTTGATATAATTGTTATTTTTCAGCTAATCTTTTTCAATTTTTCGAGATTCATTCAGGGATTTCAAATCAATTTATATTATATTAGTCTCTCTCTCTCTCTTTCTCCCTCTCTATATCTACAAAGTATTAACGATTATTATAAAAATGTTACCAGCAAGCACGTAATATTGTTATATTATGTGAAACGTAGCTTAAAAATGATGATACTAATTTTGTGTGTGTACATTATTAGTATCATTATTCAATTCCACAAGAGTAACAACTGGAATTAGGTAGCTATAATTTATATACATACACAAAATAATCACTAAAAGATTTTATTATTAAAATTCGTTTCCCTACATTATCATATTATTACACATAAAATTTTAAGTAATAACCTTGTGGGACGGTAGCCTGTTGGGTTGACGTGGCTTTTCTCAAGTTGAACAATTTCAATATTAAATAGTTCAACTTGGATTATTTTAAGTTATCGCTTAAAAAAACGACATCGCCTATCAAAAGTTTATTTTTGGATAGGTGTATCATTATAAAATATTTTAATGAACTGTACTCCTACCTATAATACTAAATAAAATATGAAAAGAAATTAACTAGAAGTCATGCTCCAATTGCTACTCTAATCAAAACTAATTATAGGTACGACACTTAAGCCATGGGTTTCAGGCACGAATTGGGGGAATTTACCATTAACGAAAAGGAGTGCGCCAAGCCCCCATTGGTCGTTAAAACTCATTGCTAGTCATGAAAAGTTGTCTTTTATAACCATAATTTCATGGCCAGCCGCTGACATTTTCACATAAAACGATAGTTTTCAACGTTTTCAATAATATATTTACAGTCCTTGATTTGGTCGCGGAAAAAAACATTTCCAGTAACTCCTTCCATCTTTTTGATTGAAAAAATTATATCTTTTGAAAAATTTGTGCTGCTGGGGATATTTTCCCATAAAACGAAAATATTCGGCGCATTCTATGATACCTACATAGTCCTGGATTTTGTCGCGGAAAAATACACCACCTGCAACCCCTTCAATTATTTTGATAACAAAAAATCATATCTTTTGAAAAATTTGTGCTGCTGGGAATATTTTCACATATAACGAAGGTATTGGGCGGATTCTATGATACCCATATGGTCCTCGATTTTGTAGCGGAAAAATTCACCCCCTGCAACCCCTTCAATTATTTTGATAAAAAAAATCATATCTTTTGAAAAATGTGTGCTGCTGAGAATAATTTCACATGAAACGGAGGTAATCGGCGTATTCACTGATACCTATATGGTCCTCGATTTTGTCGCGGAAAAATACAACCCTTGCAACCCCTTCCATCATTTGAATAAAAAAAAATCATATCTTTTGAAAAATTTCTGCTGAGAATATTTTTACATAAAACGAAAGTATTCGGCGTATTCTATGATACCTATATGGTCCTCGATTTTGTCGCTGAAAAATATACGCCCTGCAACCCCTTCAATCATTGTGATGAAAAAAATCATATCTTTAAAAAAATTTGTACTGCTGAGAATATTTTCACATTTTTGAAAAGATATGACCATATAGGTATCATATAATACGCCGAAAACCTTTGTTTCATGTGAAAATATTTTCAGTAGCACAACTTTTTCAAAAGATATGTTTTTTTTACCAAAATGATAGAAGGAGCAGGGGGTGTAGTTTTCCGCGACAAAATCGAGGACCATAAAGATATCATAGAATACGCCGAATACATTCGTTTTATGTGAAAATATTCTCAGCAGCACAAATTTTTCAAAAGATATGATTTTTTTTATCAAAATATCCAGGTTCGAATCTCATAACTATAAACTTTTTTTAATTAAAATCACGTGACTGGAACGTGACAAGGGGGCTGAGGGAGCTGATAAGTTAGGTGGAGTACCAAGGTGACCGATAGGTTAGGTGAAGTCCCAAGGGGGCCGAGGGGCGGAGTTCCACGCTAAAATCGCTACGATACTCGTTCCATCCTGCGTCGATTTCGATGACGCTGATAGGTTACCCCCACTCCCAAGTGTGCCAGAACATGCGTTGTTCATCTACTAATGTTCGTAATCAACAGTACAAAGTGTTATTCAATAGGAGCCAATGTGACAATTGATGAAAAGCTTGAAGCTTTTCGCGGCAGATGCAACTTCATTCAATAAATACCATCAAAACCGGCCAAGTATAGTGTTAAGATTTTTGCCCTCGTTAATGCCAAAACATATTATACTAGTAATATGGAAATTTATGCCGTACTACAACCAGATGGACCATATTCCATGAGCAATGAAAGCATTGATGTGGTGAAAAGTATGATATCACCCATACACAACACTGGATGAAACGTAACTATGGATAATTGGTTCTGCGATGTTCAATATGGTTTGTAGATACATCTTGTATCTGCAAACCATAAGTTGTCCATAGTAGGAACACTGAAAAAAAACAAATGGCAAATTCCAAACCAGTGGAAAGTCCTGAAATACCGTCCTGCACCATCCAGTATGTTTGGTTTTAGAAAAGAAGGAACAATAGTATCCTACGTTCCTAAGAAAAACAAACATGTTGTACTCATCTCAAGTTTACATTTCGATGATAAAATTGATGAATCTACCGGAGATGAAATGAAACCTGAATTTAAGTTGGCAACGTTGGCAACAAACCTCGTCTAATCTGTTAAGCTGCCAAATGTTCATTTTCTAGTATAAACAGTGATTTCAAAATAATCAAAAGTACCACAATAGATTCACTATATACCTATACATAATACATGTGAGTACAATCCAGTTTTTCTAATGGTTCTGAGACTGTAGACAGCTTACTTACCTAATGAACTAGTCCGATTCTGGAATTTGTACTAAGGTATAGTTTAGCGTGTAGGTTGTATTGCTTTGCGGAGCTGCCAAGCTGTGAATATATTCTGGGGTATAGACATTTCATCAATAAATCCTTTTCATCTTCAATAATCCAGGTAATGGATAAAGAAATCAAAGATATTCTTAAAGCCATATACGAACAGAATAATGATATAAAAAACGAAATCAAAAGTATCAGATCTGACCTAGATTCCATGAAAGTAAGTCATAAAAAAACTCAAGAGAAAATTGAGAGTCTAGAACTGGAAAATAAAAAGCTACAATTTGAGAGAGAAACGATTGAAAGGAAACTGAAAGAAAACAATTTGGTTGTTTATGGGATAAGAGAAGAACCAGAAGAGAACATTGTAAATGTCATTAAAGAATCTCTTTTGAAAAAACTGAACTTAACACTGGATGACTACGAGTTCAACAACATCTATAGAATTGGGAAGATGAATACTGTTAATCATAGACCAATCCTATTGAAAATCACAAGAAACCTAACGAAACAAATCATCCTTAAGCAGTGCAAAAATCTGATAGGGAGTCATATATCTGTATCACACGACCTGACTGTCCAAGAGAGAGAAGAGAAAAAATTGCTCCTAAGATACTATAGAGAAGCCAGAAATAAAAATCAAAGTGCAACCCTCCTGAAAAATAAAGTCATCATAGATAGTGTCAGCTACACATATCAGGACTTGGTAAACATTGACTCTGCTTTAGGGCATGAAACAGAATCTGCTTTTCCATGCTTTAAATCAAATAAAAAGAAAAGATCCTCTGAGTCCGACTGGAAAAAATCCCAAGAAAATTACAAGAAGTTATAAGAAAGACACTAGTGGTGATACCTCTTCTAATAAATAATCTTTTATGTTGAATATCTCCCATTCTGTAGAAATTAGGTATATGTATGTAATATTTTGTTTTATGAGTTAATACCATATTTATCCTGTCATCTACTTGTTTTGCATTTGCATTATAATAACCCTGTTTATATCAATATAATAAGTTTCAGGCAATCTCTGAACAAACATGGCTTTGAATATTTTAGAAGATATTGAGAATATGAGTGATCCTCATTTCCAGTGCTTCAACTCATCTGCTGATTTTATTGATGAATTTCAAATAGGTAATGATGATCATGAAATGTCTCTCTTTCATATAAATATCAGGAGTTTGAAAAAACACTTTGATGAACTGGTTGTCTTTCTCAATGATTTGAAGTTTAAATTCAAAATCATAATTTGCACAGAATCCTGGCTAGATTCATTTTCTGGCGGATTTACTATCGAAGGGTATAATACTCACATAATACCGCCATCTACTAATAAATGCGATGGAATTGTCATTTTCGTTGAGTCGAATCTAATTTATCAAATTCTTAAAATCAATGACATTACGTTCACTGCTGCAAAAATTTCAATTCGGATGCTTAATAACGATTACAATATAATCGCAACATATCGAAGTCCTTATAATAATATCACCAATTTTATTGAAGAGATTCAAAATATACTTGAAACACTATCTGCTAGTCATCAATTTCTGATCGGGGATATCAATTTAAATATTTTAGATAGTTCCCTCCTTACCCAAAATTATCTGACATCATTCTTTCTTTGGGTTTCACATCCCTGGTAAATAGTCCAACACGCGTCACCGACCACAGCTCCAAAATATCATAACGTACTATAATTGTAGTGCGCTATACTCTCTGTGCTAATTTATTTTGTCTATGTATTTTAATGAAACAATAAATTCTATTCTATTCTATTTGGATACTACTTTTCCCAGTCGTTGTTCCCGGTATGTTCAAAAATGTTCGGCGTGAAATATCGGATAGGCTGTTCAAATGTCAAGAAGTTCCAGGCAACCATTTCGAGCATCTTCTGAACTGACCTCAAGGTTATTACCTCAGATCATGTAGTTAAATGTCAATATATTCAGGGCAATCATTAAAAGCTCCGCCATTTTGTAGTAGTTGAAGATATTGACATTATATTCTAGGATTGAGAAGCATTTGTCAGGAGTTTCAAAAAGATGTGTCACAAGACCCTCTTCCATTCAAAATGATGATATATTTCATTGAAATGTATCATCATTTTATCATCTCAATATAAATAATTCAAAATAGAAATGAGAAAATCTCAATAAGTTGATCGCAAACAATCTGTTATTTGAATACATCATTGATAGGCAAAGGCCAAACCTTTGAAACAGGTTTTTAACACGTAACATTTGATGATTAAACATTTGCCACTCCATCATCACCGGGATGGATCTGTTCTATTCGTCCAACTCAATGTAGGAGAATCATATAATTTACAGAAATGGAATTTGCCTGGTCTGTCTGTTCATATCGTTGTGTTAGTGTATGTAGGCACTCTATATGCCATTTTGACCAAAAATCTTGATGCATTCTTATTCTTATCAATAGCTGGCATATATTCTGAAGTGTGGAAATGACCAGGGGTAAGTAAGGACCGTATAAAAATCCTCAAATATGAGTATCTGCTCCACAACAACTCATAGCAAATGAGTCTTTACTCATTTGCTCTACCTCTCACTTTACATACAGGCTGATTCACGGTGGATGGCACATTAGACGTTTCTGGTGAACCAGACAACGGATCACTGTGAAAATTTAATGGAGGGCATATTCGGACATTCTCTAGCCAACTTCCCGTGTTGCGTATTTGTAAAGCTGTCTGGTGAAAATCACACAATAAAGTGTTTTTAGAATACGTCTCTTACTTTACCCAAAATAGTTTGAAAAGGACCTCCAAAGTCAACTTCAACTGGGAAAATGGTTTTATTTCGGATATTCTTGACGCAGGCAAATTTCCCATGGCAGGTTGAGAGGAGCTAATATTAATACAAAAATATTTCATTCATTTCGAAAAAATATCAAAATGGTTCGTTTAGGGGATATTACCCAGTATCTTTGAAGTGAATACTGAAGAGGCTGAAGATCAAAGTGTATTTTAAATCGATGAGCATACTCAATTATCCATTGACTCAATCGATGTTTGGAAGGTTTCATATGGAAGGACTTAGAACTTTGAATCTAGTTATTTTCGGAAAGTCGATAATTCTCCATGAATTTACGTTTCTTAATCAACTCATCTACTAAATTTGAAGAATACCCGTTGCTTTCAGTTATGTTCCCGATAACATCGTGTCGTATTGGATGTTTGAATTATTTCTCGAAATTGAACTACTATCTAAATTTGTTTCGAAATCGTTGGTCACAAATTAATAAATTAGGTTATCATCAGGAACGAATTCTAAGTTTCTGAAACGATGTGCTACATGACCCATTTTTCCGTTTGAGAATAATTTACACTTCGAAGAGGGTTGATTTGCTAGGGCTGAAAATATTCCCTATGAATGTCCCCTTTCTTTCTGTTCTTTGTGTTACTTTTCTCGTTAGTTGTGTAAATAGAGTAAATAGAGTCATCTCAATAAAAACTTTCTTACCTGTGGGCTGACTCCGAGCATTTTTAAAGATGGCGGTATGTTCAGACTTTGAGGGATGAGCACGTGCCCAAAATCAACTGTGAACTGCTCACACCAGATTCCGAAATGACCAATATCGAAGACTGTTAAATCACCTGGTAGGGTTAAAACGACGGTTTTCCTATCATACCTTCTCAGAGGTACTTCCTTGCCATTTTCGTCTGGTACTCGGATACCTTGAGGTGAGGGTTTGCTGCCCGGTCCAACCCAAAACTTCGCATCTGAAACAAAATATAAGTATATAATCAGTATTATTAGAAGGAATGCTACAATAAAAGTGAACATGTAAAGTAGACTTACAAAAGCAAATATGCAGAAATTAACAGAAATTATTCTCAAAAAATTGAATATTCATATTTGGTGAAAAAAGCATAACGGAAAATGCCTACAAGATAGAAAGGTACTGGATGGAGCCTGTTTTCCCATAAGGAGCATTTCACTTCAGGACAATGCTCAAGCGGCTGATGAGCTCCGTTTAGTTTTTGATACTTAACAAGGTGATAAATCTGTCACCTTGACTCATCGAGTGGAATGAAGTCAGAAATTCAGGGGTTCATCATGATTTGTAAGAACGGTATCTTCAACACCTCAGTCTACCACAGGTTCTTGACACCACTAACCGGCATGAAACGTGGTCATGAAATTGCTTTATAACCTAAGGATCTTTCATAGTATCCACGAGACATCAGTGTTGGTCGACGCTTCGGGGGATATTGAATTCGTTGTGGGGCATTAGAAGTGCCCAATTTATTCAAACTGTTTACTATCCATACTCAGGCACATGCAGGCTGATATCATTCGAAAAGTGGAGGAAAAAAGGATGAAATATTAATATTTTCTCTTCAAACTTCACAGACTCTATCCAGGCCACTCTGTTGGCATGGTTGTTTTGGTTATTATAGTCTTTAGTGGAATGATGCCCTCACTATTTTCGAATCTCAAGATTATGCCAGCTTGCCCCAGGAAGACAAATATTGGCCGGAAAAATGCATAGATGGTCATTATGAAATTATGATGAGCTAGAAAAACTACATTAAGACTGATATTACATTAATAATGCAACTTTAACAGGCTTTTTTTGCTTTAAGAATCTTATATTCTCAGTGAATATAGATGAATGAACATCATTATTAATAATAATATTTATTAGCCATTTCGGTACTTAATGTATATATGGTAAGTCAATAGAAGTACTATATAACATAAAAACAATTAAAATCATGATTCATCATAGATAAATGAAAAAACTAAAACAAATATCACAACATCATATGGGTATCACAGTTATAGAAGGTATCAATTAATAATAAGAATTTCAAAATTAGAATTTTTGTCCTAAATAATCCTGTACGCTATAGAAACACTTTTCTATTAAGAATTTTTTAGTCAATCAATCAATCAATCAATGATAATAATATCATATTCGACTTTCAATAAGTCTGGAGGAATAAAATCGATTCTTTCTATAAAGATTCGATTTCTCTATAGCGTCTATTTGTGAAATTAAATTGTTCTCTCCAAGAAGATTACTTGAAAAATTGATCTCAACGAATTGAGGACGAAAAAGAATAAAAAAAAATATTTCTCAACCATCTTGAGTGAATAATCCCAAGCGAATACCGAAATTAAACTGAATTTCAATAATGAATCCAGGCATTAGTTTCATCTGAGAAGGTGTATGCGATGGAACCGAACAATACAATGTCAGGGCACAGCATTTTTGATTACGTCGACTAATTTATTGGGTGATGAAACCAATGCTCAATCACGTAACAGGAATACCAAAGTTAGGTTAGGATGAGTTAGCGTTTCAAAAACTCAATATGGAGCTCCCACTCTTGAGCATTGCTATTAGAAAAAGAGAAAACTAATCATGATCAATTAGAAACAATTCGAAAAAGAATCTCGTCATTTTATATTTCTCTCAAGTAATTCCGGAAGTATCACATTTATTTTTTCCGGAAAATCTGTTTAGGATCAATATTATTTTCATATCTGTATTTACAACGTTGCCGCTGTTTATGTTTAATATTATGACAATTAGATTTTTTTGTGGAATTTTCGTAAGCTTATCTGATTTTTGCAGTTTGTATTTTTGAATTAAAATCGTTGTGAGAGCTACCAGAATTGCCTCCACGAGCTACTGGTAGCTCCCGATTGACAGGTTGACGATCACTGCTCTAAAGAATATACAGTGCACCTTCACTTACATACTGAAAGGAAAACCCAAACTGGAATAACTACTCCTTCTATGAATATTGTACTGTATAGAAATAATTTTTTAAGTTCAATTCGGAATGGAAATAGCTTTCATGCAATATAACTTTATCATAATAACGATATTTTCGTCTAGTCAAGATCACCACACACTCCTCGATGCGGTACGAACGTTTCTATAAGAAATCGTGAATTCGATTCAAAATTTTGAAGTAACTATAAATATTGGGAAAGAAAGTTTTTGGCTTTCTACTACTCCATCTTGATACAGAAAAAGGAGGAACCTTCCAAAAAAAGGAAGGAAGTTATCAATTTTAAAAGAAGTAACTGTATACATAGATGTGTAGATCATGCAAAGAAGTAACTTTCAGACACAAATCTAAAAAAAAGCCTTCCTGAAACAGCTACTTTTGTATAAACTTCGAATTACACTGAAGGAGAATTCTTTCGAAACAAATACTTTTATATGAACATTGAATTATACTTCTTAAAAAATTGATTACTTCCTTCTTTTTTTTGGAAGATTCTCAATTGTTTCTGTATCAAGATGGAGTAGTAGAAAGCTAAAAACTTTCTTTCCCAAGAATTTATCACTCCCAAAAATATAACCCTCTCAAATTAAACTATAAAGACCTTTCATCACAATTACAAACTGACAAATTAATTAAAATTTTCCTATTAAGGCTTCGGTATAATGAACGATACGAACTTCAAGTTTATTTCTCTGTGAAAATTGAGTCGATATTGAGTTTTATATTGGATTACTATTTACTTACATCGGTTGTAATATGAGATGGATTATTAATTAGTCTCCAATGAATATCCGATATAACCTACTTCATTCTCCCAGGTTGCTATCGAGTTTCGTTATGAACTTTGTGTTTTGTTAGTTTTCTAACCCGAATAATTTAAACTATCATTATTATGTTACTAGCGACCCAACCCGTCTGCGCACATGGGAGGCAAAACATATATCTTAATATTTTTCTATCATAGTTTTACATCAACTTCAAAATTCACTCTCTAGAAAGTTCCAGAACTTTTCAGAACATTTGAGAGTATTCGACAGCATTTCATATTTCAGAACATCCTGCAACGTTCTGGAATAGTCTGGAATATTCAGAAATCTCTGAGATAGATGTGCTCCCGTTTTTGAAATGCGCGCTTTTGAAAATATAAGGACTTGAAAATTCGCTTACTAGCGTAACAACATTCTGGAATGTTTGGAAAGAGACTGGAACGTTCAGAAACATCCCGGAACATCCCTGATCATTGTGGAATATTTCAGAACTGTTTGTAATGCTGTGGAATATTCTGGAATATTGTAAACTAATCGAAAACTTTTTTATATAGGTGTGGCTACCCATTGGTAGGGGTACACGAAGCAAGATTCATCGATCTTTTATAATTAAAACTTTATCAACGCTCCCCAGCTATTACCAACAAATGATTGACTGCTAGATATCTTCAACTTCACGGATGAATTGTACAATTTTTTTGGACTCATCAACTCTCATAAATTTTGCCTACTGAATTGTGATTAGTTTTTTGAATCATAAAATAAAATTTTGATCGTCATCACAAATTCAAGTAATTCAGCTCTTGAACCTTAAGTTCTTAGCCACCACAATAACTTGCCTAACATCCGAAAACCCGCTGACTGCTCATAACACCACTGCCACGCTTCAAACTATTCGAAACTATTCAGAGTAGGTATTAAAATGAACATTCCCGTTCCTAAATTACGTGCAGTGTAAAACCAGATTTAATAGAGGAATTACCAGGAAAACGTTTTCGGTCAGTGTTTGCAATTGTTCACCCCCAACTATTCAAGAGGTCGTTTCGAGTACAACGTAAATCAAATAGTTTATAGTGGAGCTCATTATCATCGGGATTAATGTTTGTGAGGTTTCACAGAATATGTTGCGAATGTGTATAAAGTTTAGGAGTCCAATATATGGAAAATGTTCAAGAATAGGTCTATCAACTCAGGATTTTAGTTTGGTTGTGATTTCATGTAAACTAGTTCACAAGTAGAAAACAGCGTTAATTGCTACCGAATCAAAGTTGGTTTAAGAATAACATTTTAGACGAGACTATCAAACCCTGACATCGCTTCACTTCAAAAAACAGAGTCTCGTCGCCACGTTTGTCTAGATTGTCTAGATAAACGCGTTAAACTCAAAAACTACTGAACAGATTTTCATACGGTTTTCACCAATCAGGAGAGTGAGTCAAGAGAAAGTAATATAATTCATTATTGTTTTGCATAAATTGGTTGAAATATTTGATGTTTTCCATGTCAATTCGGAACAATGGTGCTACCCGTCGCGTAGAGAAGTTTTCATCAAAAACGCAGCCGAATCTCTTTGAGATATATTGAATTTACTACATATTGTTCATCTCTTATTGGTCTATAGTCCAAAATAACGTATGTCTATCTTTCAAGGATAGCTTCTCAGATAGCACACAGTTTCCTTAAAATATCCCAATTCCATCATCCATTTGTACATCAAGACTTCCTGTAAACAATCCTATGAATGTTCACAAGGTATCATGGAAAATGAGAATTGAAATTTTCTATGTTCTTTACCACTTTTACTTGTAACTAACCTTACTGCAGTTTCTTCCTATAACGATATTTTCAAACTCATACATACTAAAAATGTGTTTAATGTATAAGTTTGAAAATGTCCTCATAGAACCAAACTGCAGTAACGTTAGTGACAAAAACATAGAAAGTTTCAATTCTCATTTTTCATGATGATTTCCTACCACGTAATAACGGCTACATCCATTTATTTATTGTTTACAAGATATTATAACTGAGCCTCTGTAGATCATTGAAAATATAAAACATTAAAAAAGGGGTAATGGAATCACAGATTGTCGAAACACATCTAAATGGGATATTTATTTGGGAAAAGTGTTATGGTATATCTATCTATATTAATACGAGTATAAATGTGAAAGTTTGTGAGGATGGATGTATGTGTGTATGTGGCTCTTTCACGCCTAAACGGATTTAGATGAAACTTTACATAAATACAGCTTATACATCAGAATCACATACAGGCTACAATTCACAGAGGTTTTTATATAATTTTGGCCATAACATAATGATAAGTATCAAGTAAGTCGAAAAAATGTTTGCTCCTTGAGAGCTATCTTGGCGTGCGCTGCCTATACCGAAATGCAGGTAATGCACCGTAAGATAGTGTATCTTGAATAGTTCTAAATAAAAGTCCGGGATAGCATATATCTAACTCTTATGTGGTAGCCACTATATGCGAAATACTGAGACATAAAAACAATTAAATTGGATACTTTTTTTAATGCACATTCTAGAACATCTGTCAAATTCTCATTAAAATTGATACAATCGTCGTTTTAAGTATTTCAATAGATGAATTTATTCTTTTACACTAAGTAATTTGGACGAATCGTTTAAAAATTATCATGATAAGATTAACTTGACACAACGCAGTCGTGTCGTGCATTACGCGTCGTGTCTACTGTAAGAATACTCATCAATTAGAAAAATGCTTTCTAGGAGACCACTGATCAGAATTGAATGTTTTGTTTATCGTTTTTTAAAATTGTAGACCATAGAAGTACAAAGGATGGTGGAAACGTTTTTGGAACAAAATGTTGAGGAATTTGATTTAACAAAATGAAATATGAACTTTTCATTTCTTCTATGTCTCTTCTAGTGCCAACCCCTCTCCGTTCGAAAATGTGGGCGATTCCACTAAAGAGCCGTTTACCTCATAAAGGTTGAACATCAAAATATTGGGGTATGCAAAGTAAAAACTAAGTTTATTTCCTCGTACGTGTTCAACAAGGGCTGTTGTGTTGGCAATATTCAATTTTCCTGCACCTCTTTCAATTTGTGATGTTTTTCAGGCAACGTACCGTTTTTCCTACATAACATTTCGAACAATCCTTGCGATTGATTTCATGAAAGATTTTGAATACATATTGATCGGAGTTTTTGTTTAAAGTTTTGAGAAAACGAATTCCCAGTGTGTTTGACATTTGCAAGAGAAGTAATCCAAGTTTTTCAAAAAAGTTGTCTACATAAGACATTTTAAATTATTTTGTATTATTTTCCATTGTCATTTCCAATCAGACTTTTTTTCACTAGGGAAATAGGGTAATTGTTTTCGGCAAGAATATCTTTCATAATCCCAATATTTTTGTTATGATATTCAGTAGCATAATTCGTGAGTGCTCCTGATTTTGAGTTTCCAATTATTTTGATGTTGTTGTTGAAACAGTGAAAAGTAATTGCCGAACCATTCTGAAAGAGTGGTTTTGTGATACCAGTCGACTTTCAAAATCTATTTTGAAGCTCTCTTTGCAAAAGCTAGAGAATCCTTTTTCACTTCTATTGTGAATCTTAATTTTGGGAAAAAGCTTTGAAAAACTTAATTTAAATTTGTTTCTTCTTTGGTGTTGGTGTGGAAATGCTATCAAGTTACTTTTTGATCGGTGACTTGACGCCCGTCTGTCTCATGAAAGAAAGGTCGTGAGTTCAACCCCCACCTCGACCAGACATTTTTCTGGAGAGAATTCATCCAGCTGAAATTGGGATGATTCTGTGAAGTTACATGGCTGACGGACGCCAAAAACCTTCTAAGACTGGCGAATTCCGAGATTTTGTGCCATATTTCAATAGTAATAATTCCAATTGTGAGATCTATAGGAATGTTGGTGAAAAGGAATTTCACGTCTAGAGATATTAAAATAGATCTTTAGGTATTTTTTGGCTTCGCATAAAAGCAAAAGAGTTCTTAACAGGACTTTTCTTGTTCAAAACCGTTTTTTTATTTAACTCAACTACTTAGATATTGTATACATGGAAAAATTCATGAAACTATCAATTTGCTTCAAAGGCATTTCTTCTTAATCGATTTCATTTAAGAAGTGCATTCTGGAAAACACTCTATTTTTTGTAGTCAGCGCATTTTCAATCACGATATTTGTTCTCTAGTGATTTCCTTATTATCTTGTTGTACTTATTTAGTGTTTTTGTGTTGGGGTCATGAGATAAAATTTCATATTGGCAAAAAACTAGATTGTTCATTGGTGAAATTCTTGATCTCTTTCCCAACATTGATAACATTTGAATCCATTTATAGTTTTTACATTATCATTCTCCATTATCGTAATACAATATTTTCAAACGAAAAACTATCTGTCCTGTTCAAGAACAGATGAAATAAATTCAGCTACGCTTCATGAATTGAAATGTACTTTACCTGGAGCTTCACCGTCGTAAGATAAGTTTGGGACCAACAAAGTTTGTGCATCTACAACAACTATGTTGTCCGAGGTGATAGAATGAACGCCTTTCAAGGGTTGGATTTTTTGTGGTCGGGGGTAGTCGAAAGCCCTGGGAATCTTGACGTCTCCAAAGTTGACCTGAAAAAGGATGAGAATTGATAAGTTTGAGCAAGTCTCCTGATTCATTAAATACTAACGAAATATATAATTTCAGATAAGTGTTGAATTTTACAGTGATTAAGTGTTTAGATTTCGACCCTAACAGGTGAATATTATCGACTTCACTGTTTCCAGAACAACTACAAAACAAGCCATTTACCAGATTTATCATATTTCAAGAAACGATAATAAGCGTCATGAGACCGACATACTATGGTGAACCCACCATAGCTCATTTTTCGACTAGGAAAGACTCGGATGAGGCTTATCAAACAATTACTTGATAAGTCAGGCAAATTTATCAAAAACAAAGACAAAAGTGATCAAATAGATCAGGGGTATATTTGACTTATTTGACTTGTGACTCTTGTCCTAAACTTTATATTGTTCAAACACAATCTACTGGAACACAATCTACTGGAATGCGCAGAATAGAATTGAGAATTCTGGAAAGTCACTGGATGACCGAATAGATATGAATTCTTTTCCTTTTCTGAATCTCATTTCTAATGTGGAAATTGGTATTACTTCATTACATGTTTCTTCAATGAGTTGGTAAAACTTCCTACTGTGATGTTTACATCAAAGTTTTCATCCAAACTCAAGTGAAATTATTAGTTAATTATTTAGCAGAAAATCATATGATTTAAATTGTAATTATATGAAGCACATATTAGGTAGAATTGAATCAATATGAAAACGCTTGAAGAAGCTATTGTATAACGAAAAACGTGTTACGGTTCTGTAAACTATGCAGTGAAAATCTCACAATAAAGTGTCACTTGGATATGATAAATTTGTAATCAACCCCACATAATTAATCATTCTAGAACATGATTTTTTTTAAAGAAATACCTTCCAGTTGAACGTCCTTGTATCTGTTGATTACTTTTACGGTCTTTTTCGTGAAATACTGCCTTCAAAGTGTTTATGCTATGTTCATTCACGAATTCATTAGTTTGTGCGACTGTAAGTTTGAGTTCACATTAACTTTAATGAAAAACTATTGAACCTTCTTCGTGAAATCCTCGATTCAGCGAATAATCGAAAGACCTCAATTTCCCGTTCCGTGCTCATTCGACAACTCCTTCATTTGAAAATCGCCCCTCACTCTGAATGACAAGTTCCTAAGCAACGAAATGACAAATCGTATTTAAATTGTAAATGAACTAGAACGCCCGTCATTAACATATAGATTATGTAGTGAAACTTTGGCTTCGACGAGAATTTGTGATAAATTTTAATTCGAGGCGTTTCCATAGACTGTTCGGGTGAAGAACTGTTTTGGGAGTTTCGTTGAAATATGAGAAGTCGTGTTTTTTCAAACGGTTTTATTTAGCTACCTTCGTTTGTTTGTTTGGGTCAATTGAAGTTTCACCCCCTTCCTGTTGACACATTGACCTGAAATTTGGTACACACATTCAGTTTTGAAGACTGTATCATTGCGAAACGTTGCAAATCCAAGATGGCAGCAGCTACAAAACGACGGATTACATATTGTTTCAAACTAAGTACCTTAATATGGGTATCAAATGACAGGCCTTTACTTGTAGAATGATAGTTTACGTCGAAAAAGATGCAAACTCAAGATGGCGGCAGCTACAAAATGGTGGATAATATATTTTTTCACACACCCTCAATATGGGTATCAAATAACGGGGCTTGACTAATAGAATAGTAGTACATTTTAAAAAATATGAAAATTCAAGATGGCCGCAGATATTTGAAAATAGGATCCATAGTAAAAAATACCAATACGATACTATCTGAGAATATTTGAAATATCTCGTGAAACTCTCCCTAAATAAAGAATAGAGCAATATTTAACTAAGTTGTTGGAAGGGATTAAACTACGATTAAGATACTCAGTTCTGTGTTTGCTATAGATTTTATTGATTAGATAAGCAGGGAAAGCATTATTGTGATCAATTTGTCTTATAATATTTAACTCTCTATCGAAATTTCCTGGTGACATCGGAATATTAAATAATCTGTGAAATTTATGGAAATACGGGTCGCAAGAAGAAAAAGGAATTACTAATTCTAATAGAAGGTTTATTTTTGATAATTACCGTTGAAAAGTACAATACAATCGTTGGTACAGATATGTATCTGTATCAAAACAATATTTTATTGTATAATGAGAAGAAATGGAATTTATGTTCTAAATCAGCTATGAAAAGCACTGCTAGAAGAGGGTACAAATTGCTACACATAGCTAGATCAGAAATCTGTGAAAAATATTCATTATTGATCTGAAAGATATTTTATTGTAAAACGATATTCAGAAGAGAATATAAATTGAGGGCATGGAATGACACTTGAAAAAGCTAATGTCATGTTGTGATATATTTTTCAAATAAAGTTTGTGAAGATCAAATCGTGAGGTGTAGTTTTTGAAAGTATCTGATTTAAATAGTAACTCCCTAACTAATCTAAACCAATCTTCGAGAGAAATACTAGAGAACAAATCAACAACAAAATAGAATAAGATGGTACAACCATATCTTTGATGATTTTTTGAGTAAGATAAAAAAAATTTAACAGTGAACGAGGTCGGTTGAAATGAGTGATGTCTTTAATAAGTGAATTTAACCAAGAAGCTAGCTTGGAAGCCGGATAATGGCAATAAAAGACAACGGGTCCGATAGGCATAACATCTTTATGTATTTTGGATAGTCCGTAAAGTGAAGGAGTGGCAAGATTCATTGGAGTGAGTTTGAATTTGGAATTCCCTTAATTTTAACTGAACTTCTCCTGCCTTGATCTTCCATAAACCCGTATTCTATTCATTTTATTGGTATGGTTGTACATTTGTATGATGGTCTGCTCCAGTTGTTTGACAGCTTTTTCTTCATTCCATGTATGGGAGATAGATGTCTCGCATGGTGGTGCTGATCGGGACAATTGTTCTTCCTACCATACTGATCTCTCAGATAAACTCACAGGATTACTTTTACAAGTTATCATAACAAGCTGGCATCTATAGATGGTATGGGATATGTTTGCTCAGAACACGAGTTGATATGTAGGTGGTAGTCCTTCTTCTGTTGTGTTCTGTGTTTGCAGGTCTCTTGTCACTATTCCATGTCATCTCGACTATTTATTTATATTTTTTTTTGGCAGTTGATTCTCCTTTCTCATCTAACTACGATCGGATATCTTTCATTAGAATTTGTTTTCATGTAGAATTTTTTATTCTGGTGTTAATTAGTGGGTATGAAGGTTCCAAGCCTCCCATGCTTCAGTTATTTTTAGCTAGGATGTTATAAACTTCTTTCATATTACTTAATATAAAATTTTCATCATAATTGTGACCAATTATTCATTGGCAATATACGATAATTTTTTTTCTCCATTATAAACATTTTCTTCCCCATTTAAGTAATTATATACCTCATTGTATCCACTATTGCTATGTTGTTCTTCTTTTATTGTAGAATCTTCAACAAATTAGCTGATGATGAACCTATATAGGTTCGAAACATGTACTGATTGATGGTTTTACCGTTCTAACATCTGAGGGTGATATTAAATTGTGGAGACGGTAAATCTACTACATAGATAGATAGAAAATGTGGAAGACTCGAGATTTAGGATTTTGAATGATTTCACAACATTGCAGCAAATAAGTGTATTAGGGGAATGAATAATATGAAAAACCTAGTTCAAAAATGTCTCGAAATGGAAGGACTCCAATTCGAACATTTATTGCGCCAATAATTTTTTTGTGTATATGAATTACTTCATTTCAATTTTCATTGCAATTATAATGTTCGTTTCGGATGTTATTATTGCTATCATTCCTTTTCTGCTTATTGAAACACATCTCCCTCTCTCTCTCAAGAAACTCTACGATATATAGGGAGACGTGAAAGTTGCTATTGTGTTTTTCTTTCAACTCAGTCAACCAATTTACAGGGCCGTAATTTAAAAAGGAATAATTCACACAAGTATAATCAAATATTACTGAAACAACCCGAAATATTGAAGTTAATTTAATTTCTCTGTATGAAGTGAACGCCGACGATACAAAAACTACAACAAAAATATAGGTCCATATTTAAAAATTCACAGATGGGGATGGCCCAAGTCAGATGACACCCTGTATAAAAGATTTATGGACATATTCTGATAGCCCACATCAAGTGCCAATAGCAAAATGTAGACAGATTTTTAATATGTCTGCGAATAAAGAAGATATAGGCAAAAATATAATTTGGGACTTTTTGTTTTTCCTGTATATCTCCAGAACCAAAAGAGCTATATTCGATTTTTTACATCATTGAATAGGTCTCTAAAATAAGCAACTTTGCCACGATTCAAACGACACTATATCGCTTATCGTTTACGAGATCTCTATGTACAGAAACGAATTTGAATAGCCCTGTTTATAATATTCAGGAATCTGAAGATCATAATCGAAACTGATTCGTACAATTTGACGTTTTTAATTCGAATGGAAATGTTACTCTAAATTTAACTGAAATCGAAAATAATACGAATCAAATTGTTGGTGTTCAAGGAGGAGTTTGAATTACAGAATTGCTGTCTTATATTCCTGAGGTTATGTGGATCATTGAAGTATGGAAATTTGTTTTTCATTTCCGTCACTTATATCTGTTCATTTTATTGGTGATTTTCATTTGATTTACATGTTCATTTGAGTTGTTTTAGGAGAGTTAGGGTCTGGTCATTGTCATAATCGTAATATCAAGATCACCCTAGTAATTTCTCTAGAAGAGTTTTTATATTAAGTCACAGTTATATTTGAATATATGATTTCATTGGTTCAATTTGATTAGGACAGTGACAGTGACTGAAATTGGCCCAGAGACTCACGTATTATTCACCTAGTTGTGAATTTTACGGCTGTCAGTTTTATCGCGTCAGTTTTATAACTGTCAGGAAGAAACGTTTCGTTGCAGTAAAACTCTGTTTTGGTGGCCTAGCTTTCAATTTTATCATCATATCATAGG